TAAAAGACACATATAATGTTTTTTTCATTTAAATCAAATAGTTTTTCAGTGCCATTTCCACCAAGGTATTCCATCTACAATGAACTTGGTTTAAGAGATCTTGATGGATTCTAGAAAATACCACAACTTTAGTACAAACGATTTTCAAAAAATTCATGATTTCATGAAAAAAAAAACATTAAAAAAACATCTAATTTCTCATTATAATATCTCTGAAAGAATACGTATAAAAGTATATTAAATTCGAGGTATTTTTCTGACTAATTATTGTTGTTTATTATTTTTCCATTACACAAATATTGATAGAGGTATTAATTAAGGAGTGCGCGGCTGTCCAATCAGAGGTCTTTCGAGCCCTTTAACCCTTCGCCGTTTCACAATAAGAGAAGTTACGGTAAAATTTATGACAGAAAAAGTTGTAGCTCATTTAATCACCTTTAAAATAGTGTATTACAAGTTCTGATAAAATCAGAATTAAAAGGGTATAATCCAATTAATGCGGTGGATGGTTTAATAATGTTTTTCAAAAAAAGCAAATACTTTTCAAGTTACTGGCTACTGAAAATTTGTTTCTTTTTTGCGTTTTCATCATTTTTTGCTAATATCTTCAAAATTTTTGAACAAAACATTTTAACAAAAATCATGTAATGAACAAAATTATATCAATTAAAATCTTAATAAATCGCTATTTTATAGTGTTTTAGGAACATTATTAGGCTAGATATGAAAATGGGTTTTTATAGTGCTCAAAATAAGTAATCAATTAAAATGAGTCCTTCTGCGTGTAAAATGAGTAAACTATCATGCAAATAAAAGACACATATAATGTTTTTTTCATTTAAATCAAATAGTTTTTCAGTGCCATTTCCACCAAGGTATTCCATCTACAATGAACTTGGTTTAAGAGATCTTGATGGATTCTAGAAAATACCACAACTTTAGTACAAAAGATTTTCAAAAAATTCATGATTTCATGAAAAAAAAAACATTAAAAAAACATCTAATTTCTCATTATAATATCTCTGAAAGAATACGTATAAAAGTATATTAAATTCGAGGTATTTTTCTGACTAATTATTGTTGTTTATTATTTTTCCATTACACAAATATTGATAGAGGTATTAATTAAGGAGTGCGCGGCTGTCCAATCAGAGGTCTTTCGAGCCCTTTAACCCTTCGCCGTTTCACAATAAGAGAAGTTACGGTAAAATTTATGACAGAAAAAGTTGTAGCTCATTTAATCACCTTTAAAATAGTGTATTACAAGTTCTGATAAAATCAGAATTAAAAGGGTATAATCCAATTAATGCGGTGGATGGTGATGGAGTGCAAATTGTTTTCACTTCTGAACTTAAGATAAAGATTAGCCTATTTCCAAAATATCAAGTAAATTGGAGCACAGTAAAAAAAATTCACAAAGCAATAATTTTGTTGATCGTAAGTTGAATAGAGCACATGTGAACAGGATTTGACAAATTAATTCACTTCAAATATAAACTTAAGCAATAATGTATATTGATTTATTAGAGAAAAAAATGTAAATTAGATATTAAAATTACTAAAAGCCAGTTAAAATATGGTACGAAATTATAAAAATTATAGGCAACATTATTGAAGCAATTATTTTGGGTAGAAAAATAAAAGGTGATATTGCACCTTTGCCGCGAATGCTATATAGTAATTCTTTCTGAATTTGTTGTACTTTTTAAAAGATTTCAATTTTCAACACGTGTATCTTATGCTATGACCATAAATCACAAAGGCAGACGATCATTTTTAGTGTGATAAATTTGGAAAATCAATGTTTTAGTCGTGAATAAACAAAAAATCATTCATTTATACATCCACATCTACAGGTATGACTAAAAATACTATATAACCCTCAAATGCAATAAAATAAATTGAGCTATTGGAAATAAATTTGTTCTATAAATCGCAGTATTTAATTTTTAATATAAAATTTTATTGAACATTTTTTTATATTTGTTAAATGAATAATTAAAGTGTTAACTGTGGGAATTGAGAACAATCATTTAATTTGAAACAGTTCTACATTCAACATCACTCATATATTGGTGTAAATAGTAATTCAAAAAACAGTAATTATTATTTTTAACTAAGCAGTAAATATTAGTATAAAATATTGAAAAATTGTAGACGTGGGTACGGAACAACGTCTGGCGGGTCAGCTAGTATATATATATATATATATATATATATATTAAAATGGAGCTCTCTTTCAAATGTTTAAGTAAACCTCGAAAACGGCTGAATCGATTTGGCCAGTCTTAGTCTTGAAAAATTCGTGCCAATCCAGAGAAAGTCCAAAAGGTGAAAAATTATTTCAAAATCGCGTAGAAACTTCATATTTTTAATTTGAAATTTTTGTAGAAGCGTCATTTGAATAAAACAATGGACCGTGGCTAATACGTGAAATGTCAAACGTGTTTGACAGATGGTGTTCAATTACGCTTAATGGGATGTTTTACGTGAATATTATTTAATTATGATTAAATTGTAGTAAGAAGTTTTGTTTGTAGTTTTATTTATATACAAAAACGTTAGTAAACGGGCTGCAAGTGTTACTAGAGACTCAAAATATCAACTTTTTTGAAATGTTAATATGAAAATGCAGTTTTTGGCATATTTTTCTCAAACACGGTGCTGTGAAAGATCTCATTTGTATAATTATATACTCACTGGTATTTATAAAACATTTTCTAGGTTATATTATTCTTTATTTGTGTTATTTAAATTCAGAACCTATAGTAGGTGTCGATCAAATGGACATTTTGTCGAATAACATTTTCCCAGTTATAATTTCCCGGAATTTATCGAGGAATAGATAGTAATATATGAAGGTCCGGGGTTAAAAAGGTCCACCACCAATGTGTAAAAAATCAGTAAAGTTAAGCATTGTTTAACAACAATATTTGAAAGTAGAGGAAAAAAGATGTATATCTATAACCTTGATTTGAAAATGGTAATCTTTGAAATGGGGGAGATAAACTGTAATCTTTGAAAATCCATAATAAAAGTATTTTCTTTCGTTGGTAGATTTTTAGCATTAGTTAAAAATGTAATTATTTTGTAAAATACCTTTAAAATTATAATAAGGCTTTAAACCTTTTTGCCACCTGCCTGTTTCAAGTTAGCCCGCCTATAGGGTAAACAGTTCTAGATAACAAACTTTTGAAAGACATCAAAAAAGCACATTTCTACAATGATGAAGTAGAAGGCAGTTTACTGGACGTAGTCAGATAATTGTTTGTTTGATATGTGTTATTTGTTGTGATATAATTATTACGGTTTTCACAATATGGTTTATATTTGCTCAAAGTCAAATTGGACCTTTGTGCCTCGCCCTGCATTACATATATACTTTTTATTAAATTCACTTTAATTCATCGAATGTTACTTGAAACTTTTCAAAAAGCAGATCAAAGAAGAAATACTTAATACATTTTCTACCTCTCCTCGCATACATTTGAAATTTTTTTATAAGCTCAGTAGTATTATTTACAATTATACACAAAATCCAGAACCCAAAAAGAATCTGAAAAACTTGAAATGCAATCGAAAGACCAAAAAAGACTTGGATTGGATTATACCATGTTTTCTATAGAAATTGTATAAATCTTCCAGTTTGATTGTATTGACAAAATATAGACAAACTAATGGGGTTTATTGTTTTTATAATACTTCATTGTATATGGCATTCAAACAACAAATCCTTATACACTAAAAGTATTAATATTTTTGATTCTCTAGAAATTGTTTAGAATATACCTTACTTAGCAAAATAATGTTTGCCGGGTCAGCTACTATATATATATATATATATATAATGTGTGTGTTTAGATTAACAACCTATAATATTTGTTGTATTAATTATAGTACACGACACTTACACAAAGTAAATTTTAACTTTTTATTTTGAAAATAAAGTTTTCTTACTAATCAATTCAATTATCAATTTCTAATTAAAGTGCTTTTCTTAATCAATTTAATTATTAATTGTTAATTTAAACAACTTATAATATTCGTTGTTTTAATAATTATAGTCCACAAACATGAGCTTGATTTCGTAAAAGCGCATTCATTTATTGTAAGCTTTATTTTTAATTTTTATTTTCAATAGCAATCAGAATACATGACTATTCTATGAGCTATTTGGCTTATGTCATTCACTCACACACTTGCAAACACACATATAAATTTATCGGATCAATATTACAATCATATTTAGAGAATCACTTCAATAAATGATCCAATTATTCTGTTCATATTATCTAAGGTTCCTCCATATTATCTTCGGGCAGCTTCTTCTTCAGTCTTCTTGAAGTTGATGTCTCAAGAAGATAAGCTTTATTGAAACAGTTTTTATAGACCCATATTATTTTAAAATCTTTGATTAGACCATGTACCTTATCTTTGAAAATAATCTTTTTTACATTTAATTATGAAGAAATGGCCTGGCTGATCTTTGCCAGATATCTTTTGAACAGTTTTGGAGTTTTCAAAATTGGTCAGGATTTTTGGCAACGAGGAAGATTCTTTAACTATAAAACTGTAATAATTGGCGAGTAATTAGTGATTACAATACAGCTTCAATGATTTAACTTTTTTTTAAATCCAGATTATTTGATTATTAAAGCATTGAAGCAAAGTCTCCAAATTTTGAAACAGCTTCGCGCCCCCTGGAACGGTATGGCGCCACCCGAGGGGGCGCCGCTCCCACAGGTTGGGAAATCACTGATTACAGCTTCAATGGATTTTAACTTTTTTTTAAATCCAGATTATTTGATGATTTAAAGCATCTGAAGCAAGTCTCCAACTTTTTATATATAATAATATACTTTTTATAACTATAGAAGCTAAAAATATATTCAAATAATATAGATATATATATATATATATATATAATATATATATATATAACTAAATAATAATATATATATATATATATATATATAACTATGATAAACATTTATTTTTAGCCGAGATAAACAATTGTTAAATTTTGTGGTTTCTTCTGAAGATATTGAATCTTTGCTAAAATTATCTGGTTTACATAATGGAGAGTTTTGTTGTAATTTAAGTGATGATTGCTTGCTGGAAGTTTTGAAATGCCTTTGTAATTTAATTTTTAATAATGCGTTTGCACAGGCGTATTGTGCAAAAAATGCCGCAGTTTGCAACTTATTTGTGAGATTGAGAACATACAGGTAACTAATTGAAAGAAGGAATATGTTTATTTTTATTTTTTTTTAAATATTTTTAATGTATATTATATATTCAGTGATCCTTCCAAATCATATGAAATTAAATATTTCTGCATGAAATTACTTTTTGTAATGACTGCATTATGTGGTGAAATTTGTCCCAAAATTTTAATGGAGTGCCAAGGCTTACTGCACTTAACTGAAGAGTTAGAATTAATTGTGAAAGAAGCCACTAAATTAGATGAAGCATCTGTTGTTTTAAGCGTAAGAGTCTATTATTTTTAATTATATTGACTGAATTAGAATCCATAGTAATTAATTAATTTTAGGATGACCAAATATCTTTAGCATGTGAAATTCTAAAAGTATTATTCAATATATTCATACATCATCATTCTCAACACATACTGATTATAATAAAGAATCTCATTATCAACAATTATTGGCCATTCTTCACGTCTTTTTGTTATGTGAAGCAAGATCCAGAGATAAGTTCCAGGATTTGCAAAAACAACTTGTAAATTTATTAACAAGGTATATTATCATACACACGCAGTGGCGTCGGAAGCAATTTTTTGATGGGTGGGCTCATTTTTTTTTTTAAAGACAGCCAATGAGGGCACATTTCCGACAATATCATATTTTTGAGATTGATGGTTCCTATACGGTTCCCACACCACTGTACACACATACGTATATACACATATATATATATATATATATATATATATATATATATACATATATATAAATCAATAAATTAAATAATCAAATTAATTTCAGCATTCCAAATAATTTGTATAGTGAATTATTAACACCTAAGAAAAATAATTTTTACATGTCTAAAAGTATTGAGTACATGGGCATAAATGTCTCTACAATATATATACTTATAAACTTTTTATCTACTCAATTGGAATTTGCACAGGTTGTCAATTATGTCACAATAATATTTTGAAATAATTAATTTGCAATACTTACATTTTATTTTAGAATATTCAAATGCTGCATGAAGAACTTTCCCCAATATTAACTGTACTTCTTAAATCAGCACATGCAAATTCCCTTATGAGAAAATATATTAAAAGGATTATTTTGCCCCCGTTAAAGGATGTTACAAATAGGCCGGAAGTGGGAAGTTCTTTAAGAAATCAACTTTGTCGTTTGCTTACGACACCAGTTACCACTGTTCGTGACTTAGTAGCTGAGCTTCTTTTTGTTTTATGCAAAGAAAATGGTAAATATCTTGCATGTACTTACAATTTGGTCATATATATATATTGTTGTGCACCCTTGGGCTAACAACAAATTATGTTGTGGATCCGTTGCTAACAATTATGTTGCGTCACGCCAACGATGTCAACATTTATAATTAGGTTCTTCTGCTGCTAGCATCTAAGCCTTTTTCACTGTGGAAATATTTAATTAAACATTTGAAGACGTTTATTAACTTTATTTACTTCATTATTCGGTTACACTTGATTACAACTTAATTCACAATTAATATTTTGAAATAAGACTGATGTGAACTGATTGGAGACTACACTAGAATGAACGCTGATCTCGTCATCCTCAGGCTTTTATAACCTCTGATGATGACGTAACCATCCTTCTAGAAAATGTTCGTTATGAATGACTCATTCTGCTTATTTTAGACGCAATTTTGTGGTTTGTCATCGAAGAAACCGTTATTCTGACATGCATACAATGTTGCAAGCTTATCTCTGATACAATCTATGCATACTTTGTTGCAAGACCATGAGCTGTGAGTCAACAACGTATATATTGCATCTTTCATATTGACTGTTATATAGAATTTATAATATTATTTATAATTATTGCAAAGGGGTGGATAGCACTACAAATATATATATATATATATATATATATATATATATATAATTTAGAAGTTAATTTTGATGTTGAAATTGTGGCGATATCAAGCAGGCTGGTTTTTATTTGTAAAAAGATGGGACATGTCATGTATATTTTTGATATCGAAATATTTTTACAGTTAATAAATTTATATTTTTTTATTATGTTGGGAGTTTCTAATTAAATATATTATCATAATCATTACTACTCCCACATTGGTGACTCACGACGTTGGAGATGAAGATAAAGGAGTTTTATTTTTCGAAGATTTAAGAAAAATTGATTTTGACGCAGCACCATTATCACTGGTCTTCAGTGACGACCTATAAGGTATGTTAACGCACTTACTATCTGGATCAGACTTCCGAGGTTACTCATTTGGTATACCCAGACCTCAGTGTTTATTGCTGACAGAAAAAATAATTTGGAGCCTGAACTTTTCATTGGAATGCAATTCAACCTCTCTTTCTCTGTTAACTCAACAAATCGTCTTATAATGCTACCTCCCATTATCGGTGACAACGACGAATCAAAACAAAATTTGACATAATTTATTGGATTCCACAATTCTGGACTCTTATGTCAAAGAAACCAATGATCCTGATTTGGATAAAGAGCCAACTTCTTTCTCTGATCGGAACTCATCAGATACGAATGCAACGCTTGCAGAAATGGAAACTGTACCCATAAATTATGCATTCTAAACATTAAGTTATTCTGATATAACTAATACCCATTAGATCGAGAACATTATGCAGAATATGGAGTTGATGGCAGGTCAAATCACCACATACGGTGGATCTGCTGACGAAACATGAAAATTTGTAATTGACCAGTATTACAACACTGGTCTGCTATAATCTGCTTTCCCACCACATTTTTATAACGTTTTCCCTGTTTTTTTTTTTTAAACTGTGAGATCAACACTGGGCAGGGAGTGTGTGGCGATATCAAGCAGGCTGGTTTTTATTTGTAAAAAGATGGGACATGTCATGTATATTTTTGATATCGAAATATTTTTACAGTTAATAAATTTATATTTTTTTATTATGTTGGGAGTTTCTAATTAAATATATTATCATAATCATTACTACTCCCACAAAATATATGAGTGAGTTTTTGAGGGCGATACATCACACAAAGAAAAGGCAGAGATTTATAAAATAATCTTTAATTCCAAACGTTTCGACATACAAGATTATGTCGTACAGATTGACTAACGTCTAAATACTGAATGAATTGTGTTTACAAATTTTGCGAAAGTGTAAAAAAAACTGGCAAACATATGTTTTTAGTAAAATAATACAATAATAAAATACACGCTTAATTCAGATATGGTGGTGTTTTGAAAATGGTCAAGGATTATTTTATAGTCATTGCAAAGCGAATTGTTATCTAGTCTTTTATTTATGGCCGTGTCGTTGTGTAAAGATGTTAGGCATCTTTCGCTAAATCTTCTTTCAAATAAATTATTTTTGAAATGTAGGATCGTGGGATTAGAAAAATCAATGCTATGTTTGAGCTGATTAATGTGATCCGTTAGTTGTGTTTTATTCTGATTTTTCTTTTTAGAGTTAGTTTAAATACGAACATAATTTTTGAATTCGTGAGATTTGAAAAATTCCGAAAAATTTACAGCTTTGAAATAGATTTGCATAATACCTAATTAATGGAAATATACTTTTATGCATTGGCCGGAACGATTATACTTTCAAACTAGTGGGCAAAATGTGTACACCCCATAGCGGAAAGTACCATGGGCCCAGGCTTGGCTCAACTATGTACAACTCTGGTCCAAGCTTGTAAGCCAAGCTTGCCCAGCATTGGTAGAAATCTGGAGTGATAACGATGGGCCATGGTTGGTTGCCAAGACTGGGCCTGGGTTGGTTGCCTAGACTTGGCCAGGCTTGGTTGCCATGACTGAGCCAGGCTTGGGCTAGGCTAGATAACCACGACTAAGCCAGGCTTGGGCTAGGCTAGATAACCACGACTGAGCCAGGCTTGGGCCAGGACTGGACCATGCTTATTTGCCATGACTGCGCCATCCTTAATTTCCACGACTAAGCCGGGCTCGGTTGCCGGAATTCAAATTAAATTATATTGTAAATTAAAGAGCTTATGAATTGGACAACGACGTTTATTTAACTTAAATAATCGGAATTAAAATGAGGACATTGTTTAATATTAAAATTAAATATTGGTAGTATATAAGAGATGTTCAGAACTTTAGCTACAATTAAAATTGTTTTTCCTTTTAAAAAAACTACAGAAATAGAATTCTTTTTCTTTTATGCCATTTTTTGCACATTTAGCTTTATATATCTCAAACGATAGGACCTGTCTTTGCCAAAAACTTTGTTTTTTGGATGATTCAAATCGGACGAAAAATTGTATCTACACATACACACCCACACCCACACATCCAATTTTTATGAGGTATGCCAAAATGTTCAGAAACCTCTGAAAAAGTGGCGTAACTATAGGGTGGCGTGGGTGGCGAAATGCCACGGGCCCCCGACCTAAGGGGACCCGGCCCAGGAAACCGCGGACTCAGAAATACATTTTTACATTGTACATAAATTTTATTTCACTTGAAACTTATATTTTATATAAGTTCAAAGTCGGAGTTAATTATTCAACCAGGCTTGTATCGAACTTACATTCGACCGAATATTTAGTTAGTTAAAACCAAAGGAGTCGTCGCCGTTCAGCGAAAGTATTGTGTTTTATCTTTTATGAGATAAAGAGCTGCGATGGATTTACATTTGAAAATCTTTAGTTTATATAATATGATATAAAGAATGAATGAACGAATTTATTATTGTATATATAATAACTTAAACGTTATCGACTTCTAAGATAAAAAACGAACACGTGAAGAACTCTTTGCTCAATATCAGGGACGTAGCACGCCTTTGCGGGGCCTCGTATAAAAATTTGTTTGGGGGCCCCCTTAAGAAGACATTTTTTATCACAAAATATAAAAATACATGAAATTAGAAAAATAGTTATTTATCATTCTAATTATTTTTCTATCTAATTTTATATAATTTTCTGAATTTTTCAGTGAAATTTAGTTTTCGATCAATTTTCAGAGGCGGAATAGGAAATTCTTCGGAATAGACACTTTTACGCAACTGAAAGCAGTAACAAAAGATTTTATTTACCAAATAGCTTATGGAAGTTATCATTTTATTTTTATTTCATTTTGAATAGGTGTAGAGTTAACTTCGTCTTCATCTTCGTTAAAAAAATCGTCCAGTTATTGAAACGGATTGAAAAATGAATACTTTTCAATACTGTTTTTAACCAGGGGTATTGTTTAAATTGTTTGTTTAAATCATAATCTGGTCTAATTATTATATTTTATTATCTTCATGCAGGATAGCGATAATAAACCCTCATCCCTTATTATATAATTTAAAACGATAAAATAATCCCTTTCATTGTTACGCATCCTGTCCCAAAATCGGTCATCATATCAGTAATCCATTTTTCCAAGAATTTTAATCACCTGTCCCTAACTATATCATCCTGCAATTAATATATTTCCAAAAAACTCGCGTTACGTGTACCCAGTTTTAATTCTACGAATCATGCAATAACCGACCAATACCTGATTGGTTGACAAATGTAACAGCTACTGATTGGATCCAAAATTGTAAGGGAATGTCATTGATTCTACAAAATGGACCAATCAGAAAAATGTATGAAATTGTAAAATCTATATAATTTAGTGTCAACTAAAATATCATCTATCTAACATCTATCAGTCGTAAATTAACACTCAAAGCTATAACATCAATTAAAACTTCAACTATCTAACATATCATCTATCAGTCTTAATATTCTTTCAAATATACAATAATTAAACATTTATTTATCATCTTTTATTTTTATTATTCAATCGGTCTGATATAGCCAATAACTAAATATATCATGTCCTTCGGCAAAGTGCAAGTGTTTCAATAGAGTTCGGTAGCATCTCGCCGGATCACGGACTTCTTAAACACTTTTAATCTATCTTAACAACATACTTTTTGATCCATTCGAACCGAATGATCAATTTGTAAACAGGAAGGTTATGAAATAATTAGATTTAAGAAAGTGGTATTTTTTTTAAATTTTTATTAAAAAAATACGTTTAGTTTTAATTTCAATGTATTCTAACGTTGAAAATATTCACTAATATTTAATGTTTGATTTTCAAGAAAATTTAAATTTTATTTATTTTTTGTTATTTTTATATAATTACAACGAAATTATAATTATACCTCCTTTTGTACCTTTTGTATAATTTCATAATTTTCTCAATATGCCATAAAATATAAATTAGTCGAAGTTGGTTTGCTAATAAAACAA